GTGCTGCAGGACTGTCAGTGGTAGCTAAATGCACCTCGCTAAAAGCTTCAGTGTGAGACTTTTGTTTGAAGGCAGGGTATCATTAGTCCTTTACTCCTACCCCTCACTTGGTAATCGTGATGCTGCAACACTTGTCACACTTCTTGATGAGTTATCACACATCAAAAAGGGCTTACGGGCACATTATATAAATCCTTCACAGGTACTGAGGAAGCACACGGCCAATCTGCATATTTATTCCACGATCACCTGAAGATACTCTGATGCATATGTCACGGTGACATCCAAACAGCTGTTTTAGGCTCAAACGGGTGACACGGTTATGATAAAATGATCAAAACAGACAGACATTTTTTTTTCCGTTTCACAAAGAAGTAAATACTTTCCACAGGACAAATCACTTCAAGTTTGGACTCAGAAGAGCAGGGAACCAGAAAACTTTAAGCACCTGAGAATAACTTGGTTCTTCACGGTGACCTTCTGACACACTTCCCTCTCTAAACATTTGAGCAAAAAAGAAAAACAAAATGTCACCTTCTAGATTTTTACAGCCGTTGTCCACTCCAATGTCAGGACTACTTTTCTAAAGCTCCTCTGGTGGTGTCGTAGGTGGCTGTGGCACATGGTTGTTGTTGGCCATTAATTAGTGTAAAGCTCCTCCACCTCCCTGCACCGTTTTCCAGCATGTCAGACTTGTTTATTTTGCACAACAGGAACAATTAAGCAGCTGACAAGACAGCCACCGTTTGAAGTCCTTCCTGCTACTTCCAGTGACTTACAACGCAAGTTAGCAGGCACCTTGCAGCACCCTGCTGCTGCCTTGTAACCTTCAGCGGATGTCTTGAAATGCATTTTGTAGTACGCAAGTAGTAGTAGTATTATCATAACCAGATGCCCACCCTACCACCCACCTCTGCAACATCTTTGAAAAATGAGGTTCGGTCTTGAATATTAAAGACAGTGCGGTTCATTTATTTAGGGCTGTGTTCAGGCCACCGAGGGATGCTGATTTGAATCTCGTTTGTTAAGCTGTCTATCCTTATCTGTCAGCATCAGAGGATGCAATTTCTCTCTTCCCACCTCATCCTCCTTGTCTTCTAAATGGCAGGGATATTTAGAGGTGCTTGACAACTGAGGCATGCAAATTAGCAGTTGATGTTTCCTGTGTTCTTTCAGTTTCCTTCACTGTTCACCCCCCCCACTCCACCCCTGAGTCGGCCCTTTTAGCCTAACTGAGAAGATATATTTGTGATTCTATTTTCATCATCATGTAGGAGGGAATTATGGGCTGGTGGTGGTGATGGTGTGTGTGTGTGGGGGGGGGAGGGGTTCAAACACTTTATCCATAGTTTCTCGAACTGCAATCAGAGTAATGGCAAAACAGCAGCCTCCTTTGTATGGCGAGGAATGGAGGAGCAACAATAGCAGCGTTCATTTATTGGTGCATTTTACATTTGTTTAGCCCCGCATACCGATGTGATGTATTCATATACAGCAGCAACTTCGCACATTATCAGCAGCTCTCATTTTGAATTAAGCATAAATTCAATAGTTATAAAAATAATTTACTAGAAACTCCCAACCCCATTAGGAAGTTGTAGCCTCTTATTAAACTGTTTATAATAGCTGTCATATTTATTAGGTGCGATGCTGCTGCAGTGTGATCCTTCATTATATTAAATTAAAACTAATCAAAAGCAGCATTGGCCAGCAGAGACTGGTGATGATGGTCTCAGATTGCACAATATCAGGCTGAAAATAGTCCGGTCTGACATATGTTGGGCGTCAGGCTTGACAGTTTATTGTTTTATCTGGTCTAGTGTGTCCCAGTGGAAGAAAACCATGGATCTTGTATCCTTGCTGACACTCAGGTGATCTGCACCATGCCAACACGAATATTCTGTGGAACAGTATACATAACAGAGTAATGTCTGAGGAGATGTATGCAGTGCCGTATAGCAGCAAATGTTCCACACATGCACACCCTCTGCAGGGTGTGAATAGGCCTTCAATCATGGCGTGTCTGCACCGAGTTCATCTGAGTTCACCAGTGTACAGTAGTAACTTTACAAAGAGGCTACCCACAGCTACTCTGCAGAAAGATGCATGAAGTATTTATTGTTCTGTCCTTAACCGTGTCAGCACAGAAAAAGTTTGGGCTGTGTTGTTTCAGTCTTACATCTCCTGTGTGTCTGATATATATATATTTATTTAAAAAAAGGCCTCACTCCTCTGTTCCAGCAGAGTACAGGTAACGTTTGAGGTGCAGGCTTCAAGCTTGTCACTCCCCACACATATATGACATATAGAAATTTGAGAGTAATGAGTAAATAACCACCCGGTTACAGGTGGATTCTGTTGGCATAGAGGGGTCAAAAACGGGAGACAAAAATTCAGTGTATGTCAGTTTTGCAGTTCCAGTATAAACCACCATATAAGAGGGTGTGTTGGGTATATGATGTGAAAGGAGTGGGTGTGTATTAAACAGTGCAGTTCGAGTTGAACTAACTGAACTACCTCACAGGCTTCACTTCATTTTTCTACTCCATTTTCTACTTTTGCACAAGTACTACATTTGGCTTCGAGCACTTCCAAAATGCAGGTGACCTACTGTCAACACTCTGCCTTAATGCCCTTGTATAAACACAGAGATGGAGTCATCAGCACTCGCTGCTGCTCATGATATGCTTCCTACTGTATATAGATCCAGTGTTCGTGGTGCTGTTATAAAGGAAGGTGTGTAGATGTAATGCCTTCTAGTGTCCTGAAGGCTTTTTCGCTCAGTCTCAATGACAGACAAACTTTCAAAGGTAACCAGCTGGAAAAGTCAACCAAGTTTTGAGCAGAAGGTTTGCTCTTTGTGCTAAGTAAGGTGTGGTTGCACTTACCTTTAAAACACATCATGCTGTTCACTGTTCAACAAGACAATTTGACTTTAGTCATGGTGTTTGAATGGGTAAACAGGTTGATAGCCATGTGTAACAACAGAATAATACAGTTAATAAGACGTAAGCTAAATATACCTGTAAACCGGTCGGCACAGGCCCGTACTCCATCAGGCCCTTGTACTCGGTCAAGCCCAGTTGGCTTCTCTATTGTCCTTTGCAAACCAGGCAAAGAAGCTGCTGAGAGTTTCAGCCAGCCTTGCATTGTTGTTAGTGGTTTCAGGCTGTAAATTTCTGCTTTACTATTGATAGACTGTAATGAACTGGAACTCTGTCTCCACCTGCTGTGGATGGGAGTTGAAATTGAATATGTACTCTGTCTGAAGTTTGTGGTTATAGCCCTTATGTGCTTCTTTAAGTTGCCTTTAGCTATACTGCCAGTTATAGCTGACTCAAAGCCAGCAGAGTTTTGTCAACTTTGTCAACTATATACTTCAGCACTCAGCAACCCCACTCTCTAACTTTACATGGTTGGCCTCTTAATTGCTGAGCTATCTAAATGCTTCCACTTTGCAATAATACCACTTACAGTTGATCGTGGGATATGTAAGAGGCAACTCGCAGCTGTGTCGGGATCCTGTTACGACACTCAAATTTAGTGTTTGATTTTGTACACTAGTAGGGATCGGACTGAAAACAGCTGAATCCAAAGATTAAGAGCTGTGGTCCAGTATTTTTGTCTATAAAGCATAGCTAAAATGTTTGACCATTACCTTGCTTTTTGCCATTTCCCAGTTTTAATCAGAGGCATTTTTTTAAATTAACGACTGATATTTATAAACCTCATCATACTTGCTTGGAGGTGGTGACAGCAAAGCCTGTATGTGGAGTTAGAAACAAAATCCCTTAACGTAGGTAGGAGTCAGCAGCTGCAATTAAATCTGTGAATCTATGTTTTCAGATGCACTGCTGTCTTTTAAGGGCTTTAAGTTTAACAATTGCATATTTGCTGTAACTGGATATTGTAATGCAAGAAATGACATTTTGGGGGGGAAAGGAAAAATGTTGTCAGAGAATATTCACTATCAACATTTTTTTTCCATTTGCCAGATGTCTTAATTAAAAACATTTCCTCATTATGCTAATGAAAAACTAATTTGATTACAATTATGCTTCCTTAAAAATGCAGCTACTGTTGCAGTACAATGTAATTTCTAGGAAACAGGTTTGATAGAAGTAATAATAATAATAATAATAAACTTTATTTATAAAGCACACTTAAGAACCAAGGGTATGCCAAGGTGCTTAACAAGTAAAAGTACATTAATGTGTGCTCCTGCAGACCCTTCCACACCTCTACCTGACGGTGCTTTATTCTCTTACAGAAACATGACTATCATATTGAAAAAGTTAGTTATCCGTTTTCCTAATTTGTTGACTTCTTCTGTGCTTTGACTTCCTGTTATCGTTTGTCCATGCTTCCATTTAGCCTGGAGCATCCAGTCATGTGTGTGTGTGTTTGTATCTCACCAATAAAAAATATTGCGGGGATGAACATAACTAGCACCCACCACTGACAAGCTGCCAAGTGTTGGTTTTGTGGTAATCATTTAGAAATAAACCAAAGCCACTCAAGGTCCACCATCAGCCACAACAATAGATGCTACCCCACAGCAAAGTCTGGGACATTATTACTGTAGTTTTTCAAACCAAGTAGCTACAAAGAATCCATTTTTCATTCTTCAGGCAGAGATATTGCTTGTGAAACAAGGAAGCGCAGAAGTCTAACTGGCTACTGATGACCAATGACGCCTGTGACCAATTTTTCACAGCCCGTGGGCTTGCTGAGCGGTTTCCCAGCTTTCTCAGTTCCTGTTTATTGGACACATATTAAGCTGGCTTGGTCCACCACCTGCTGAATGTTGACTCATTAAATATTGCATTGCACTAAAACAGTTGGTCAAAAAAAGTAGAATTACATATCATCTGTTCGATATTTGAAGATCTATATATATATATATATATATATATATATATATATATATATATATATATATATATATATATATATATGTACATATGCTAACGTAATTTCTGTGTCTTTGTTTTGTCCAGTGGTGAGTCAGAACCTGGTGACAGACAACGTGACCGTGGTGGAGGGAGAGATGGCGATCATCAGCTGCCGGGTGAAGAACAATGATGACTCCGTTATCCAGCTGCTCAACCCCAACAGACAGACAATCTACTTCAGAGACATGAGGCGTGAGTGTTGTACAACCTTGAATGACTTCACTGCCATTCTTTATTAATTAGGCTATATTTTTGTGTGTTTGAGTGTGTTGATGTAAGAAAGTAAATTGACTTTTTTTGTAAAAGAAAATCAATTAGTGAAGCAGCTGATGCCTATTTCAGTTTTAAATGTCAGCGTTTTTACATTACAATGCGATGTGCCAAAGAGAGTTGATAATGAGATACCAACATGAATTTAGCAGGCTGATTGGACTTTATTGTTGCTTTTGGTTGCTAAGTATTCAAGCATAGGGTAGAATCAGGCTTTTAGTTTTTATAGGGTAGTGCATTGGAGATTTTAGATATTTAATAACTTACCTTTCTTTCCATTTTGTTTGAGCTAGCCGATTAGCCTTTGTGAATACAACTAAATCCGGCACGACATGGAATAATTTCTTTGCACAACCTTTCCATCAAAATAAAGGAATTTTAGTTTTACTTTGAAAAGGGGGTGCCTTTTGGGAGTTTTTGAGCCTATACGTGTCACTTCCAAACAGTACCTCAAAGAGAAGTGGGTCGAAATCCAGGAAGCGCTCCTTCTCAAAAGTAATTAAAGCGAGCTTATGGTTGATGGCAGATGATTTCAGCAGTAGTGTTAGACTTAGTTGTGTGTTTTTACTGAGGAAATAGAGATGCTAGGAGACAATCTTGTATATTGTGCGTTGTCGTATTGGAATGAAGCAACAGCAGAAATACGAGGCTACAGGCACGGGACGGTCTGTGGTGTAACGATAAAAGGCTTGGAGCTACAAACAAATTCTGGAGGATCTGGAGTGATGGAGGTATTAGGACAAGTGTAGTCATAGCAAAGTAAATGACTAAGTCAGGTTGTCCATTTAAAGAGAACATTCATAAAAACAGCAGTATTTTACATTTTCTATGTGCATCAGATTTCATGCCAGAAGACTAGGGTGTATAATGCATGGGATATACCACGGTTAGACAGCTTCTTGATTTTTATTTATTTTGGAAGCCTTTATGTGGAACATACAATACAACAATATTAAGATATTTTTTTAATTTTTCAGAAAATTAAACAAAATAACAGTAATTCACATATGTTTGACCCTCAAAGTGATCCCCCTTCCCCAGTGTGGACCTCAGTGAAATTGAGTTCAGCTCCCCTCCTTTAAACATTCCCGCTGCTGTGGGAAGAAGTCAGTGAACCTTCAGATTTAATAACTGGTCAAACCTCCTTCGAGAAGGAAACACCTCAAAAAAGTGTTTCCCATGGCAGCAGATCAGGCCTTTACAAAGTTCAGGAACAATTCCTCTTCTGCTGTAGGATGTTTCGTGTGACTGGCTCTCTGGACTTCTGGTCTCTGACTGTGTTGACTCATGGACTACCCCCCCCCAAACACACACACGCACACACAATTTTTTCTTTCTATATTAGATTTACTAACATGTTTCGGGTCATTGGTGTCTGGTCGCTGCTGCTTTACCCAACTTCACCCTTCACCCGAGTAAGCAATATTTTTAGATGGAGTTTCTTAAGGACTGGGTGTTTCTCAACCATTAGAAATGGTTGTCTAAAATCACAAACCCCAATCGCTTATCGAAGAGACGTCAAACAACCAGCAGCTTTAGCTGATGAAAGCTTGTTTGCGTTCTTTACTGCTTCTACAGCCTGACATCATCCTGAAATATACCAGGATGCTTTGCTGTTAACTAGAGGAGATGCAAATTTGCTTAGATGAATTTAACTGGATTGCTATGTAACGTAACAGCACAGGATCAAGACCACAATCTACTGCTGACAACTGGCTGCGCACATTTGCAGTATGCTCTATGGGTGTTTGAATTCAAGGTGCCAAATAAAATTGAATTGAATTGCGTATCCAGTTGTAATATACAATCAATTGAGTGCTATAATAAAAATAGATTGTTTGTTCATTATTGTAACTTGTGATTATAACCGGGGTAAATTTGGCAGGTCGGATGTGGGGGGGGATTATCAGACAGATGACATCCTGCATGGGCAGGATAATCAGGAACAATTCTGTTCCAGCGTTTCAATATAGAAAAGAAATGCTGTGTGTCAACCAATCTCAGCAGTGGCATCAGAATTCTCTGCAAAAGTGAGATTTGCAGATGTGTCTTTCATCTTGTTGAACTGCAGCTAAGCACCTGACTGCTCTCTGCAACATTCTGCAGAAATTACACACATGGTTTGTTGGCTTTGCATACTAACGCAGCTGCTGTGATAGGCTGACGGAGAGGAGCAGACGCACTCCGGTGTGAAAAGATTAAACCTAATCTGACCCTCTGACCCTTCACTGCATTGTTCACAAGTTAGAGCCCACAGTTTGTGATGCATTTGGGTCTCTTTCAGAGAATGAATTGGGTCGAGAATTAACGTCCTTCCCTGTACAAAGATTTGCATTGCAAACAGCACTTCATGGAAAAGCAGAAAAAGTCCACTTTTAAAGAAGTTTGTATTTTAGATTTTTATGTAGGAATATTTATTAAGCCCAGTATTCCTTAAAAATTAGGCACTTTGTGCTGGTGAAATTTGAGCTTATTTCATATTAATTATTTTTCATTGGCTCTTCTGACACGGAGAGCAATGTCAATAACATGCTCTTTTATTTCATTTATATTGCATGTGATGTACTAAATAGCATAAAAAGCATCCAGCGATGACGTCGCGTGACATTAATTAATATTCTTCTTACATTATTTGCATTTCCGGGCAGCTACTTTAAGTTTGACCCACATGTCTGCAGCCAGATTAATAGAGAACAAAGTTAGTATAATCCACCGTGTTTAGCTCTCAGCATGTCTGCTTCAAAAAAAGCAGCTCATACCCCTAAACATTTAATGACCTGTGTGTTTATTCTTATCCTCCCCAATTATCGTGTCACAGCTCTAATTAGCCGTGTTTAGCTGGACATATTCTGTTCTCTCCTCTGTTGTGCCAGTTTCTTTGTGTTTTTTTAAGCCGCCATGCGAAATGGTGACCTGCTCTTAAAATACACATTGCTCTTAGCAGTTTTCATACTTTTCAAGCTGTATCTTGGAAATGCTTGTTAATCTGCATGTAATTTTATTAGCAGTTTACATTTAAAAAGAAAAAAGGACGACGTGGACCATATCTGGTAGAATTTTTATGTTGGCAACAATAGGACGTTTTGTATGGTTACACTGAGGTCACTTAATAAAGTCGCAAAATTAGATTTAGCATTCATCATGTTGGTTAGTCTGCTCTAAAAGCAGGCTACATGCTCCACTTTGTACAGATGTGACACCACAGACTCTGGATGGTAATAGATCAAATGACTGCTGCCACCTGAGGGAATTTGCCCCCCGGCCTATGCAACTTAGTCGTTCCATCACAGACACTTGTTCAGGAGAACAAATGAGCACGCAGCTACTGGTGAGGGACAATGACGTCTGGTAATTATTATTAAATATGGTGTTGTCAAACTGTCACCAAGAAAAATGCCCGGTTGAGTCAAATGGCCTATTAATTATGCAGCTAAATATTGCATAGAATTTGCCTTAAATGTAATTTCAAAGGAAAAAAGTGATCTCCAGAGAAATCCTAAAGAACAATCTGTGCGTGAAGTAAAATGTCTCGCTCATTAAATAGTTTTGTAGCCTCTGAACAAATGCAGTCCCCTGCTGAGAGCGATGATGGCAAAGCAATTAGCCGTGGAGGACAGGTAGAATACCAGCGCAAGCGGTATATATGAAATGATGTGGTTTACTAAACACACACACAGGGATGATAGATAGTTTGGTGTTTACATAAAAAAAAATCAAACTAAAACAGATAAATTGTGCTAGTAAAAATAAGTCTAGTCATATCAGCTTTATACTGTATGTATAGCCCATTTAAACCCAGTGAGCTCCATATAAAAATCTTTAAAATCTAATTATTACATAAATAATGGATTAAAGTTGTTTAATCAATAAAGCTGCCCTGACTGACTGCTTATTAATTACTGCTTTTTTTCCCCCTTTTACCATCAAACACATGCTGAGGGACAAAGAGAGAGGGGCACAGATAGTGAGTGGTTACACTGGAGCGTACCAAACCAGGACTTTGCTGAGAAAACTGAGAAGAAACACATCAATAAGGAAAAACTACAGGATAGTAAGAACTGAACTGTAACCTCTAATTGCCTTCACTGCTTTAAGCCTAAAACTCCTGAACTGAAAATTAGCTTCCCTCCAGCCCTGGGCCAAGCAGTTAAGTTTAGGAAAAGATTCTGATCTGGACTCCAACCTATTTCAATTTAACTCCAATTAGGGCTGCACGATTAATCGTTAGAAAATCGCGATCTCGATTCATACTTATGTGCGATCTCATTTCCAAATGACAACGATTTAAAAAAAAAAAAAAAAAAAAAAAAAGACGATGACGACGATTGTACCGCATTTTGATCTGGGACGTAATCTGCATGAAAACAAGCGCTCACTCTTCCTGCTCAACAAATGACAAGGGCGGAGCCTTATACCACGTGATGCTAAAATTAGCAGGGAAAAAACAACGGAGAGCACGTCAGGGATGACGAGAAAGTGACAGGGGAAAATCCGTCCCGGTCAACCACCCAAACATCAATAACGGGAACCTTATACAGCGCTTCCCTATACCCGTCGAACTTCCGCAGGCACAAAGAAATCACGGAGGCTATCACTTATCACCTGACCAAAGATATGGCTCCCATCAACACTGTGCAAAACGAGGGATTTAGGAAAATGATCAACACCCTAGACAAACGCTACACAGTGCCGTCCCACAACTATTTTTCTATTGTTGCACTACCTGCTCTATACACGCAGCGTCGAGCAACGGTGGAGACGGAATTTCAAGCAGTACAACATTTTGCGGCAACAACAAAACGTGAGACATTTGTTGTTTTTATGTTTATTTATTGTTTTTATGTTCAGTTTCAACTGTTACGAAGTTGATGTGCAGTTAATAAGTGCAATAAATATTTATACTGGAAAAGAAAATCGTGAGA